GCTCGTCCCCCCGTGCAGCAGCGGCCTGTTTTCCTCCCCCTGTTGTGTGTTTTTATTATTTTCCCTCTGGCTTAGATGTGTCAATCATTCTCTCCCTGCCATTGGTTGGAGAGTTTGCGTCAAAAAGTTGCCAGAGAGGCGCTTTCTCAGCAAATCTCCCTGAGAGCGGAACCGACCTCAGCTCCAACTCAGCCTCCACTGTTATAAAAAATAAAAATCGCTAGAGCAGCCCTCATCACGTCTACTTTGTATGTATCACAGAGGGGCCCACGCGTGTTTTGAACTCGAGCTACTTTCGTCATTTTCTATTCTTTAAAATATTTTTTCGTTGTTTGGCTTTTTATGGAGGGGTGAAGACTGCAAGCTTTCTAACTCAATGCTCTTGATTTCTTTTAGGATAGCGGGCTATTTGGAATTTTGAAGGATAATTTTTTCTAACTTCCCGTGCGGCTGTAAGGTAAGTGTCCGTCTGTCTTGTCGGCCTGTCTATACCCATGTGCCCCTCTGACCACCATCGCCCCGGTACCTCCAATAGACCGACTGATACACACTTCCGCGAACTTGGAGTTCTGAAGCATGCTGTATTTTAATCCCTCGTAAATTTTTTAGGTGTAGTAACGATCTCTGCGAAAAATGTATGATGTGGAGGTGAGGGCGGGAGTGGGAGGAGGGGAGGCAGCGCGCTCCTGGGGTCGCCGCTTCCGCCAAACGTCGTGGAAACCCTGAGAGGCTAATGTGGGGTGTTTGGGCCGGGTTTTGTTTGTGGTTTTGTTTTATGTCAACGCCCATTTCTCCCTGCTATTTTGCGTTTGGGCCCTCAGATGTGGTTGGGTCATTTGCACTGATCTCAAGGACATTTTCAGAGTCACAGACAAAAAGATGCAGATGTAGCTAGATGGATGGATGATAATAATGATGATAAGACAGGCGTCTTCTAGGGCCGGCGTGCCCCGAGCCCCACTCGCTCTCGGATCTGCGAGTGAGGACGGTCGCAGCTCGAGCCCCCTGCTTGTCCCTAGTGAACGTGAGAGGAAACCCGAGCGGATAACCGAGGAGGCGTGGAGCTGCCGGGAGCTCCTCCGCCCGGCGCTCGCCTCTCTTTTTCCGGTCCCCTTTCCCCAGAGCCAAGAGCAGCTCACCAAGATTCGTTCTCGGCCTCTTGCAATGACCACTAGGTCTCCTTTTCCTTTTTGATCATCACTTTCCTCCCCGCCCCCCAAAATAACCTGGGAGTGCAGTAACTCCCCCATCCCCGGTTGTCGTGGTCCCAGACTCGGGTCGCCAGGCCGTGCGAAAGCAGGAGAGTCGTTTTGCTATGCGATTTAGCCCGGGGTAGTTCCAAGCCCGCCCTGTGCAGCCCTCCGCGAGCACCTGGGGCTGGCAGAATTGTTGGTGAGTGGCCCCTGCTCCGCCCGAGGCCGCGGCGGGGACAGGGCGGGAATCCTTACACTGGGGAAGGCGGCCCCTCCGCGGTTCTGGACCGTGGGCAACGCCAGGGCCTGCGTTCGCGCCCGCGCGCTCCCCTCCCGGACTCGCGGACAACCGGGTGTCGTGTGGCCGGACCCGGCCGGGCCGAGGTCGAGGGGTGCCTTGAGGCTCAGCCTCCGTTCTCGGTCCGCCCAGGGAATACCATCAGGTCTCCGCTTAGCAACCTGCCTCTGCGACGTGTCACGCCGCCAACTCCAAAGAAGTCTTCGTGTTGATGCGTTCAAGTGGCTCTTGAAATCACAGTCCGATTTCAGAACACATTTTTTGAAATCCAAGTCCCCCGTCAGAACTTCACCGCGTTGGCTTTTTCCTCCGTTTCAGACAGAAGTGGGGTGTGGGACAGAAGGCCGAGCTGCGTTGACCCTGGAGTGGTTGGTGGATGACTTGGGGAGGGGACGGGGGGGAAGTCGCTCCTTGAAATCCTCCCCTCCATCCTCGAGCTTCGGGGTCAGGATTTGTCCCGCTCACTTGGGGACTTCTTCCAGGAACCAAAAGTTATTAGCACAGGAGACGAGTTGGAGAGGAAACTCCTCCCCCCAAAGGAAGGTAGACACCCAGACCTCTCCTCAAAGCGCTAACACTGGGGCTTTTTCCTCCCCATAATTAATAGCCAAGGCCAACCCTTTTGGCACGTTTCTTCCTCCCTCCCTCGCGGGTGGCAGCGCTGTTCGATTCCCTGAGGCCAGAAACTTTCACTGGAGTTCGCCTGAGAGGGAGGCCCGCGCCGGCTGTTTCCGCGGTGCCCACATCTCTCCTCATTCTTTCCCTCCTCTCGCTCTTCGCGGTCTTCCGAGCCACAGGCCAGTCGCCAGTCCGCGTAGTTTTGTTTCTTTTCCATCATGCAGAAAATTAATCAGCCCGGACGAGAAGCAGAGCAGAGCACGGCGGCCTGTAATTAAGGGACGTGTGCCCCTCGGATTATCTCGTTAGTTTATCAAGAAAACATTTATTATAATTAATTCTTGGACGAGGTAATTATTATTGAGCGAGGACACAGCAACTGGTAGATGGGCTCCTTGGAAGAAAACACACACACACACACACACACACACACACACACAGGGGGGGAGATGCGGGGGAGGGGGGGAAGAGCGACAGATTGCACGAATTGACCGTTAGATATAAGGCGGCGCGGGCCGGGGCGGGCAGTGGAGCCGGACCTGGGGCGCCAGGACTGCGGGGCTGCCGGGCAGGGACGCCGGACCGAGGCACTCGCGCCCGGAGGTGCGGGCGCCCACCAGCTGCGGGGACTCGCACAGCGACCGTCACCGGCTCCCGTAGGTAGGAGTTCTCCAACGGCCACCTCAGGAGCAATCAGAGTGAAGCTTATATTTTTGAAAGGGTATTTCTGTTTGCCCTTCTGGGCCCGGCTTAGAGAGAAAGGGAAAAAGGTGTTCTTTGGGGGCTTTGGAAGTTAGATGGAAGGGCCCGTGGCCGCTTCTTCGGTGAATGCATACCTAGACCTGCTGCGAAGAGGATTTAGTAGTTTTGTTTGGGGGTACTTTTCTTTTTCTTTTAAAGATGCATACAGTAGTAAATGCAGAGACACTTTATCCCTAAATTTTAGTGATTTTTGCGATGGCATGGGCAAAGGCGCTCCAAGGAGGCCCTTTGCCTGGTGTTTTCTATCCCTTACTGCTGTTTATATTGGAATGTGCCACTTTCTGAATCAGACTTTTCGAACTGGGTGAGAGCTCTACATGTAAGAACAATTCGGTATTTCTCATGTGTGCATGTGCTATGGTTTTAGGTTTTTTCTATAGTACTTCAGAACTTTTCCAACGTATTGTATCAAACACAAGAGAACTCCAGCTTAGAGGCTATTTAGACAAATTAAGTGACTGTATTTTAAAGCAATATTATTTCTACAGCATCTGAATAACTATATCTTGAAAAGAGAGCAGAAAATAGCAAGTCTTTGTTATAGAAGCAACTAAATGTTATTGATGAGACAGTCCAAATTCCTCTGAGAAGGAAGGGTATTTATAAAATTACACTGATTTAGATCTGGGGTAGAAAAGCATGATTTTTGTGCTATGACTTTAAATCAGGAAGAAGTGGCAATAACTGAGTTCATTTGTGGAATTTTGTGTCTTGATTTCTAAAGCAATGTAAATATGAAAATCCAATCCTGAAAACTCAGTAGGACCTTTGTCAAAGTAAGAGGGAACTTCTAATCTTGTATCCGCCATTTTGAAGCAATCTCTCATAGTGTCAAAGTTGCAAAGTAGAGATCCTTGCAGGATAAGTGCCATTTTTTAGGCAAATAAAAGCCAGACTTGAAAACTGCCAGCCCATATTAACATCCATTTTGGATCCCTTTGCTTGGAGCAGTGAGACACTCAGCTGAAGAAAGTAAATAACTTTTCTTTTTCTTCCTTTCTTTTGCCTCTCTGAGCTTTTTCTTATAGGATTGTAGGAAACTTGAAAGGTAGGGAGAAATTCTATTAGTTTCACAACTTTGGGTGTTTGTGTATCTACTTTCTTCAAAACTAAAATGTGCAAAAAGCAGCCGGAATTAACAAGAAACTCTGCTCTAGTTGCTGAGGACCCAAATGCCTGAAAATTTGCCTCCCGCAGGATCTGCAGCCTCCACGACATCAAAATCAACATGGAAGCGGCTTGCACTACAAATGCACACCCTTTCTACTTGCAAATGTGGGGGCCTGTCATTATCTGATTGGTGGGATTCTAACTTCAGAATTTCTAGCAAACCTCGTGCCAATCTTTAAGACTTTTTTTGCAGTATGTTTAAATATTTGATGGGTGTCGATTAAAAGTTAAATACTTGTTTGTTTAGCTTTAGTTCTTTAGACACATAATCAAGGTCCTCCAAAACCTTAATAAATCTGTTACTTACCTCAAAATCTAATTACCCAGACTACTAATTAGGTGAAAATGATTACTGGAAATGACTTCAAATGTGAAGTAATAGCGATTGAGCAGTTTTCTCAAGTTTGTCGATTAGCAAGTTGGTATTTTAGATGTTAAATGCACTGACATTTTAGGTTCACAGCAGTTAAAAGTGGTAAAAAGCTAAGGTAATTAAAATTTGCCTTGGAAAGGCAACAGTCTGGGGAGAGGTAGATTTCTTGAATTGTTTCTTTGTTTCTCACCAATGGGCTTTGTTATCAGCATTATTTATTTAGCCAAAGAGTTCTTTGTCTCTGCAAATGGCCCCAATCAAGTTTTGTTTGAGACAATTAGCTAGTGCCAGCCAATGAGTCCTATGCAAATGTAGGGATAGGAATGCAATGTGTGCATTTGAAGGCGTGGGGTTTTGTTCTTCGGGGAAGGCAGATTGTAATTGCTTTCTTCTGGTACTTTTTTTTTTTTTTTTTAAGTTTGGGGGGGGGGGGGGGAAGACGGGTTTATCTGGTCTCTCTCCATCTCCTCGAGTTCCGGGGCGGGGGGGGGGGGGGGGGGGGGTGGGTTGCAAGTCCTTTAAAAGCCTCTACCTTGCACAGCCCAGGGTTTTTTTTAAGTTAGTGGTGGAACGTGGAAGAGCTGCCGCCTGCGAAGCAGTAAACCAGCACCTCTGTTTGTTTGTTTGCTTTGTCCATAGTTCAACTGCTCCCAACCCACACACCAAGGATCCTGAATCTGTCCACTCTTGGCGAAGCGAGACCTTCTGGCTGGGTCCCTCCGATTTGGGCTGATTTTGCGCCTCCAAACAACCTTAGCATGATGTCTTATCTTAAGCAACCGCCTTACGCTGTCAATGGGCTGAGTCTGACCACTTCGGGCATGGACTTGCTGCACCCTTCAGTGGGCTACCCGGGTAAGTGAGCCTTGTGGCACTCTTGCTCTGCCTTTCCCCACGCCGGCCCCACAGGGATGTGACACCTTTTCTCTCGGAGCACTGAGGCTGATGGTCATGCTGCCCCACTCCAGCTCCAAGCGTGGTGTCCCCAGTGGGTTTTCCTTCTAAGTAGCAGCTCAGAGCCACAGGGCATTTACCGGCCGGAGGGAAGACTAGGGGCTGGAGGGAATAGGTGGATCCCTCAACACTTGCAGAAACTCACAATGCGTTACTCTTCATTGGAGTGCATGGGGGACACACTGCAGTGAGGGGAAGGGGGGATGGAAGGTCACTCCCTCCACCCATATCTCAAAGCCTTATTCTTCAGAAGTGCCCTCTGGAGAAGCTGGGTCTTTCCTCGTAAATTCTCCCCACCACGCCGGGGCTTCCCCTCTGACCCCCAGGCCTTTTGCCTGTAATCCCTAGAGGTCTGATTTACCCTGGATATGGGTGCTTTCCTTTCCAATCAGATCTGGGGGTTTTTGTTTTGTTTTTTTGTTTGTTTTTTTAAATCCTCGTAGAAGTTTTAAATATGCCCCCATTTTAAAGATGGAGGGACAAAGCCCTTGGAGTCTTAAAAAGCCCCATTAATCCAAACTGCGGTCCTCAGGGATTCTCTGACTTCAAGGAATGGATTTTTGTTTGTGTGTTGTGGTTTAGGGGTTCATTTTGAGGGCGGTTTGGATTTTGGCTTTCTTTTATTTCATGTGTTATCTATGGAAAAGCCACTCTGGCTGGAGCAATCTCCAACGTCAGGTGGAGGGAGGGGGATCTCTCCTGGAAGGGGGGGCATGGTGTATGTCTTGCTATCCAGTGTTTGCTGGAGGAGCCGAGGCCAGGGAGGGGGTTGGGGAAAGCACTGATAGGCTCTGGGTTGCATGGCTGGGAGGACGAGGGAAGTGCTGGGACTGGGGGACTGGGGGCTGGGGGAGTCGGAGCACCCGCAGAGACCCCTATACTGAGAAACTGCTCCCCCACCCTAAAGGGCCCTGGGCTTCTTGTCCCGCAGCCACTCCCCGGAAACAGCGCCGGGAGAGGACGACGTTCACCCGGGCGCAGCTAGACGTGCTGGAAGCTCTATTTGCTAAGACCCGGTACCCAGACATCTTCATGCGGGAGGAGGTGGCGCTGAAAATCAACTTGCCCGAGTCCAGGGTGCAGGTAGGGCAGACGTAGATAGAACCATTCTTCCTGACTGTGCCACCCCTCCCCTAAGCACGGTGTATGTTGAGGACCCAGGAGAGTCCCAGGTCTTAAAGAGGACCAAAGGAAGGCTTGAAACTGAGCGCTCCGCTGGAGGCCAGTAAACTCTTCTAAGGCCCCTTCACGTGCCTGATTACACCCCCCCCCAACACCCACCCAATCTTAGAAGCGACAGCCTTCTGGCTGTAAGGTAAGACAATGATTTAGCTGCAGTAATAAAGCACAATTCTAGAGTTCTTGAGTACTCAGCCTGGGGAAGATTTCAAGGACAGCTGCTTAATATTTTAATACTTCCTTTTCCCCATGTGGAAATCCTACCCCATTTTCATCTACTTTTAGGAGTGAAAGAAGCTTAGATACTGGATAGTTCAGTAATTTTACAGGTGAAAGAAATGGAATAAATGACTTGCTCAAGGTCACACACCAGTTGGGTACGGTAAGGCCAGGCTGTGGAAGCCCCTGGTGCTCTTACAAAGAAATTACAAAATAAAAGTGTCTTCTTTAACTTCTTAGGGATTGAACAGAATTTGTTAGCTCTTACCCATTTAGCAGATAAAATATCAATGCAATATCCTCATTGACACCCCCCCACCCCCTTTAACTTGACCTGAGGCTGGAGAGGGAAAGTAATCTCCCAACTTTTCTGAAATGCAAGCACCATATGGAGTTCTCTGTAAAGAAATGTTCAGCCCCTGAACATACACACACATCCACACATCCCCGAGACTCCACTTCAGCTAGGACGTATCAGTGTGAACTGCAAACCAGGAAAAAGACTTTTCAAAGTAAGATGGAAGAAGTTTTAGCATTTGTAAGCTTGAACTCAGGTCTTCACTGAAAGAAAATAAGAGGCTCTGGATGGGTGATAGGCTCAGCCTTGGTGGCCCAGTTAACACACCCATATGTTGACCTCACCCAAGAAGACTGCTAAGGACCTGTTGCTCAGAAAAATACCTGTGGTTCCTCTCAGGAAAGGGTGGTAGTTTCTTTGATAGGCCCCCTCACACACCAAACACTGCTCCTTCATGGCAGAACATGAACGGGGTTGGTAATGAGAGTCTTCAGAGTTGCAGTCAGAGGCTTAAATTAAATTGACAAAGCCAGTGAACATAGTACAGGAAACTGAATCCCGTGTGCTGAAGGCAGAGAAACCAGTGTCAGACTTAAGATGAGCAGAGAAGTCTGTCCTCAAACTCCCAGCAGACTATATACAAGTCATTCCACTTACCATAAAGAGTGCAGCAAATCGTGGCTTTCAGACCTCCTCCTTCAACAGGATCACTTCTTGGAGCTTTCTTTTATGAGTCTTTCAAGGAGAGAGAAAAAGGTAGAGTGTGATTAGCAGTTATTCCCTGGAAGATAGACAATAAACTTTGCGTTTAGGCTGTTCCTGGGCTAGTGACAACAGAATTGTTTTCCCTCAACTCTTTTGTGTTTCCTTCCCAAAGACATAGATATGTTGTATTTCCCCATAAGAGTGTTCCACAGTACCACTGGATTTATGTGTATGTGTGTATTTGAAGTGAAATACAAGATAGGAAAATGAGAAGGAAAATTTTTAGCCATAGGATTTATTATTCTGGGCTAGGAATGAAGTGCTTTTAGACAGAGCTTCCCCATTTTCTTATAATTCCAGGGGTATATATAAAAGTATCATGGGTTTTCAGTGGCAGGACAGATGGTGCGCTTAGCTCATCTGTAATCTGGGAGCCTCTCTCGTCCTTACTGAAACCACCTTAAAGAAATTTCTTCCCTTTCAAGGTGTGGTTTAAGAATCGGAGAGCTAAGTGCCGCCAACAGCAGCAGCAGCAACAGAACGGAGGTCAGAACAAAGTGAGACCTGCAAAAAAGAAGACCTCACCAGCTCGTGAAGTGAGTTCAGAGAGTGGAACAAGTGGCCAGTTCACTCCCCCCTCTAGCACCTCAGTCCCGGCCATTTCCAGCAGCAGTGCTCCCGTGTCTATCTGGAGCCCAGCTTCCATCTCCCCACTGTCAGATCCCTTGTCCACCTCCTCTTCCTGCATGCAGAGGTCTTATCCCATGACCTATACTCAGGCTTCAGGTTATAGTCAAGGATATGCTGGCTCAACTTCCTACTTTGGGGGCATGGACTGTGGATCTTACTTGACCCCAATGCATCACCAGCTTCCTGGACCAGGGGCCACACTCAGCCCCATGGGTACCAATGCAGTCACCAGCCATCTCAATCAGTCCCCAGCTTCTCTTTCCACCCAGGGATACGGAGCTTCCAGCTTGGGTTTTAACTCAACCACTGATTGCTTGGATTATAAGGACCAAACGGCCTCGTGGAAGCTCAACTTCAATGCCGACTGCTTGGACTATAAAGACCAGACGTCCTCATGGAAATTCCAGGTTTTGTGAAGATCTGTAGAACCTCTTTGTGGGTGATTTTTAAATACACTGGGCTGGACATTCCAGTTTTAGCCAGGCATTGGTTAAAAGAGTTAGATGGGATGATGCTCAGACTCCTCTTCTGATCAATGTTCCGGGAGGCATAGAAGGAGAAATGAAGGGCCTTAGAAGGGCCTACCAACCAGCAACCGGAAATGGACAGACCAGTCTACTTCAGATCCTGTCATAGTTTTAGATCATTGGTTTTCCTGATTTGCAAAGTGATCAAAAGCATTCTAGCCACGTGCAACCAAACACCACCAAAAAGAAACGAAACTAAATTGTGAGGGAAAGGAAGGCAGGACATAGCCTTCTTAAGCAGAGGTGTTCCAGTGTTTTAGCCAATCCGTGGTTGATACTTAGGAATGGCCAGTGTCTCAAGCTCACTCACGTTTCATGACCAACTGGTAGTTGGCACTGAAAAACTTTTCAGGGCTGTGTGAATTGTGCGACTGATTGTCCTAGATGCACTACTTTATTTAAAAATAATGTTCATAAGGAGTCAATATGTAGTTTAAGCGACAATCGGTGTGTGTCTTATATAAATGGTACATCTGTGGTTTTTAATCTGTGCTAGACTTCAAAACTGTGATCTCCTGTTATTGTATGCAACCTTGAACTCCACCTCCGCAGGGGTTCTTCCGTGATTAAATAGGTTATAATTATAAGCAAATGCAGAGCAACTGAGTACTTATCAAAAAGATTACCTTTGGCTGGAGGTGAGCTGCACTGAAACTTATAACAAAAATGTCTCTGGACAAGGAGAGTGAGAGAAGAGAAACAAAAGGACACTAATTCATCTGTAATTTACTGTTGGTAAGCCTAGCAGTAAAGAGACATTGGTCAATTGCTCTGACCCTGATGAATTTATAAACTGAGATCATTGTCGTTTATGCTTGCAGATGTTAACTGGAAAAGTTATATATGCATAAACCTTTTCTTCCTGGATTTGGCAGATATGTATAATTATATTAAAATGGTTCTAGCACAACACTGGGTCCAGTTTAATTTTATACCACTATTTATGGATGAGAAGCCCACATTCAGCCTCTCCTTCCCCAAACGAATTTACCTCCGAGAGGAAATTAGCAAACTTTATTTAAAAAGCATTTTTGGTGTTATCTGTGGATGAATTAGGTATGAGTGACTGTGGTATCTAAACTTCTTGAGATTTCCATCAGTACTGCTCTGAAATAGAACATAGAGAGCCTAATAGTCATTAGGATCTTGCTCTCCTTGCTTTTCCCTCCCGGCTGCATACCATAACGATTTCTTGGGCACTTTACTAATAGGTTTTAACATAGATCAATTTTTTTTTTTTTTTAAGTGAGAAGGGAAGAACTGTAGTACTTCAGAGAAAATGAGAATGACAAGAATTCCTTGTTTTTACTCTCTCATTTGATGAAGGGGATTTCTTTTTTTTAACTTTCAAAAAAATCTGAGGTAAACATGAGGGAATGTAATCAGAATCTGAAAGCAATTCAGGCAGAAATGATTTCTGAACAAAAGAGTTTCAGAAAAGTTTTAAAACCTATAATTTCAGTAGTTGAACATAAGGCATCCTGGTCAGTTTTGTTTTTGTTTTGTTTAAAGAAAGTGCAGAGGGGGTGGAGGGGAAGGTCTGTTTTCAGTTCTACCTGCATTTGGTATACCAATCATCAGAAAAGGCAAATGAGCCAATGGTCACCGTGCTCCTCAGGTAAAAGCAAATATTTAATTCCATTTTAAGCTCTATGCTCTTGAGTTTGACCAGAATTAAATGACTCTTGATTGTAACTTTTTAAATGAACTTTAGCAGTTGCAACCATTTTGTTTTCTGGCTTATTTTTCTGTCCCTGGCTGTGCATGCTCTCTTGACCCTACATCATCTTGCCTAATAAGTAAATTGGTTTTGTTTTACTGCTGAAGGAAATGCAGTAGTTTACAACCAGCAACTGACTTGATGGCAAGATTTTCCCGTACCAACTGAGAACGGTCCTCCTACAGTAGTCTACACCAAAGGGAAACTGAAGCCCCAGAGAGACTCTTTGTTTTACCATGTTCATCTTCTGGGGCTCATGCTCCCCCAGCTTTTCTCAAGCAACAGTAAAGCAGATACAAAGTAATTTCTCACACTGCTTTCAGTTTTCAGAATGCCCCACAAAGGATCAGTAAAGACACCCCCCCCCCTTCGTTAAATATAATGACAAACATGGCACTGCTCAGCAAATAATGCAGTTTGGTTTCTCTCCCGATGCTATAAAAACGGAGGTCAGAAAAAGGCGTTGAGGACCCTCTGAAACTAATTTTTCCATCACCTTTGCACAACTTCGCTTAACAGACCACGGAGTTAAATCCCTTTGAATTGACGGGAAAGTAGAAATGAATTCTCCCTGACCGCAGGCAACAGAGGGAGGGGAAGGGGGGCGGGGAAGCTAGCGCTGGCTTAAAGACGTCCAGATCACCACTCCTGGTCCAGACCCGGTTTAATAAAAGTTAAGCCCGGTCTTTAGGTACTTGTACTGAAATGACGTCACCCTCCGAAGGCGTCAGGGAGCGACTTCAGCTGCATTTGGCAATTAAGGAATGACCTGAACCGGCAACAGAATCTTCCCTTGGGGGGACGGAGGTCAGGTGGGGTAGGCTGACTCACAAAGATCTGTTGGCCCAAACCTTTATCTTAACGCACCAAGATTCTTGCTCCTGTTATTTCACCTTGGGAATGTTTCTAAGTTTCACAGATAAGAGAAATTCAATCAAGTCAAGTTCGGCTATCGAAATGTACGAGTTTTAGATAATGGTCAGTTTCCTTAACTGCGCTCCCACTCGGTTCCCTTAATCGCACCTTTTCTCCGTGTGTCCCCACTCTGAGTGCGGCACCGCCTGGACGCGAGAGGCGGAGGACCCCGGGAGGCCCCGGGCGGGACTGCGGGAACTGAGCGCCAAGGTGTGGGCAGTGGTGGCGCAGGAGAGCGGCTCGGGCTCTCTGCCGAATCCACGGCGATCTTTCAGAGCGGTATTTTTCCAAATCTCGCCTGCCCGTCGGAGTTAGCCGGGAAAAGTACTCGCATCCCTGACCTCCCTGACCGGGAGGCCGAGTTGGGACAGAGGCCCAAGTCAGTTCTCCAGGCTGATGTCAGCCATCCCCCGACCCCACTCGTGGCCTTGCGGGCCTGGCTGGGGCGACAGGGAGACTCTCCCTCCCTCCCGCTGGTCTGCCTCGGGCTCGGGTCTGAACCCAGGACCTCCGCGGAGCCGCGGCCCGCCCCACCCGGCCTGGTCTTCAGGCCTCGCGGGATCCCGCCGCGCGGGCAGGGCTGAGGCGCCGCTACGGGTCCTGCGCGCTGCCAGCGGGGAGAGCGCGGCCTCCTCGAGCCCCTTAGTCTGGCTTCAGGGTCAGCCGCGGGCGTGGGGGGGAGCCCAGAGCCGGGCTGACATCGCGGCCGGCCGAGTCTGGGGGGGTGGGGGACAAGTGTGTGTGTGGTCTGGCCGGGAGGCGAGCTCCCTGGCTGGAGAGAACGAATGCCGAGGCCCAAGGAAAGCAGGGTCCGGGAGAGGGGGCCAGGACGCCGAAAGCGGGCCTGGAGGGGCCTACGGCCTCTGGCTTTCCTCGTCTCCCGGGAGGAAGCGCCGCAGACGGCTGGGTCTCCTCCCAGCAGCGAGGGGGAGGCCTCCGCCTCCGCCACAGCGGGGGCTCCCGCCGCAGGGCAGCCGTGGCGCCGACAGGGAGTCCAGCTGGGCCTGCCTAGGGCCCTCGGAGGTCTCCCAGGAAAGCCAGGTGCTTTAGCGGGTCTGGGTAAGTTGTGTTTGGGTGTTCCGCCCTCCCTTGGGGTCCCTGGCTCTGAGCTGAGGCTTTCAGAAGCGGCCCTCATACCTTTGACTCAAGTTTTTTCTTCTACGCCCTCTACATTTCGTTTTTTAACCGAGTGCCCGGTCTTTTCCTTTTTGGACAAGGGCGCAGCACTCCACCGCCCCAAAGCTGGAGGCCGGATTTGGAATGGGGAAGCGGTGCCTTCCGTGTCCTGGACAGCGCCAGGCAGCCCATTCCGGCTACCTGCAGGGCGGGGTCCGCAGTCTGTGCCCTCCCCCACTTAACCAGAAGTGGGGGGTGATCGGGTAGCCAGACCCGGCATGCACAACACAAGTTTGAACCCGCTTCTAACACCCGGTGAAAACCTCGGTGTTGTTACCCCGACAAAGCTGTAACCCAAAACCAGGCGTGCCAGTGTTAGGTAGTGGTTTACTGCATACAGAGACATGTTTTAATCATGCAAAAGAGAAAAACAAAGGAGTCAGGCAAGAGTCAGGCGCATCTCACACAAACGGAAGCTGACTTCGTACAAAACAACCAATATGGAAAGACCGCAGGGTCGGGCTCTCAGCCACGACCTCAGCCGGCTTCCTGTCTTCCTTCGAGACCTTTAGAAAGGACAGCTCTTCCCTTTCCTACCACAAAAGCGTCCAATCACCAGTCAACGCATCTGCATGCCCAGATCTGTGCCCAGTGCCTTCAACACACCTCTGTTTTTCTCGGCTAAACTGGCAGCGTCCTGTAAGCACAGCTCACCCTCATAAAACCTGGTTCCCCAGCTGCCCCATTTGAGCCCTTGGGTTAGGACAACAGGAAAGACAGGGAGACCCTGGGATGGAGAGAGCAAAACACCAAACAAAACCCACCCCGATGTCTTTCAGTATTAGGCTCTGAAACTGCACAGATTATGGGATTTGTCTCGGACGGAATTAACATTACATGTGAAACCATAGTGCTCTGGTGTATTGAGACACATTGTATAGGATTGCTTGGAGCATCTCTTCCTAACTGCCTGTTAATAGCAATACGAGGCCTTGAAATCATACCTGTTTTTGTTTTTAACCTGATTAAGACAAAATGTAGGCACTATTTGGAAAGGGCAGTTTTTCTGATGTAGGCAATTTGAAGGAAATAGAACCCAATGGGAGAGCTGGAGGAAGCTTCTGTATGCAGAAGTGGCCAAAGAGGAGAAGTAAGCAGGCAAGCCTTTGAAAGCCCTTCTACTATGCAGCAGCTCCCAAAAGCAATGCAGGCTTCCCACCCCTCACCCCCACCCCACCCCCACTCTAAAGGGAATCAGACTTCCTCTTTTGCAAGCAGTGCGTTTTATATTTAAAAATCAACCTGCTGCCGACTGCAAACAAACAATAAGCAAAATCAAATAAAGGAGCCCTACCAAATCCAACCCATTTGGTCAAAGATAACTGCGGGGGCCAGAGAGGCCAGGCTGTTATGGTGGGGCGCGGGAGGGTCGACTTCGAATTTTGTTTTTCTCCTAAAGGGAAAGTCGAACAGCATGAGGTCTATGACTCACTTTTATTCCTTAATCTCCCCCACTCTACCTTCAGTTCTTAGTGGAAGGAAACCTGGTATTTGGGGTGGAGAAAAACAACAACAAAGAAAACAAAAAAGAATCCCACAGCAAATATAATGGTAAACAGCCAAAGTTTGAACTGACTTCTGTTTCAGCAGCACAAGGAAAAAAACTGTCCAAGAATCAGAATCCTCTGCCACCCTGTCCCAGTATCCTTGTCTTCCTTTGCCTACTGTGGTGATGGGAAGGGGGCCTCCGGATTAAGGGTTTCTTAGTCTACTTGACATCACTAAGAGACACTCCAGCCCAAGGTGTCTTTAAGAATAAGATGCCAGTTTCTAGCATTGCTGATTTTTACCCCCTTGAACTGCCTGCGCTCTGCAGCGGGGTCTGCCGCCCTCCACCCTAAGTTCCCCAGGTAAAGGCCTGAAAGCGCCCCCTTAGAGTCGGGTTTTCGGTGACGGCTCTCCCTTAGGCCCTGCTCCCAATCTCCCAACTGGAATCTCCAGGGACCTGAGGCTACACTGAGACCCGAAAAACCACTCATCCCAGCCTCTAGTTGTTAAAATCTGTTCCGAGAACCAATAGTCACATTTTAGGCTCATGGGTCATTAATAAAAATCTCCTTAACATTCAAATGGCTCTAAAACGCGTTGATG